ATATATTAGTATATTTTGGTAGCAGTCTTTCCTGTAGACATATATTATTAAATATGACCGAAAAAGTAAGATTAATAATTCTAACACGAATTTTCTCAATCTTTCGTACATTACGCTTCACTGTTGGAGGTAAATCAAAAATCACTTCTCCAAAATTCATTTTTATTTCTAGTCTGACGCGACACGGGCGCGTTTCGTAAAACTTATTACATTTTCAAACACAAAAGAAGGTCACTACCAAAGATACCTTACAAGCAGAACTTATTGCAGAAGGAGGAAAGAATCGAGGCAACTACAGAAGCACCATACTGTCCCCCGAGCTTAAAGCGGCAGCTAAAAGCCTTCGTGAGAACAAGGAGATAGTTGTCAGGAGAGGTGACAAGTCGCCAATATATGTCATTCTTAAAAAAGACGAATATCTGGCGAAAATGAACATCATACTCTCTGACCAAACTAAGTTCCAAAGGGTAACGAAGGACACTACAGCCGAATTAAAAGCAAAGGTCAACAAACTGATCGAAACTGTAAACGCCAAGAAATCCGGACTCCACCTGCCAAAGATCATTGGGGAATATAAACCTGGATATGCGTATGGAAATGTCAAGACGCACAAGCCTGGAAACCCACTTCGGCCAATCATTAGCCAGATACCCACACCCACGTACAGACTGGCAAAGCGACTCAACGGCCTGCTGACTCCTTATGTTCCTTGCGCCTTCAGCCTGAAGTCTCCAAAGGAATTTGTGGACTTACTGCGGGGCACACGGGCCACAGGGATAAGAGCCTCGTTGGACGTAGAATCGCTGTTTACCAACGTACCTGTGGACGAGACAATCGGAATGATAGCCGACAGAGTGTATCGTGATCCAGCCTGTACTCCTCTTGACATGCCAGAAAGTATTCTGAGGAAACTACTCCAAGCTTGTACTAAAGAGGCACCCTTCTTGAGCCCGGATGGGCACATGTATAAGCAAGTAGATGGGGTCGCCATGGGTTCTCCCCTAGGTGTCCTGTTTGCAAACTTCTACATGGGTACCATCGAGCAAAAAGTCTTAGTCGACATGAACTTGAAACCGGCCATATACTGCAGGTATGTTGACGACATTTTTACACAGGTACCTGATGTCAGACATCTGCAGAAGCTGAAGGAGGCATTTGAGCAGAGTTCCGTGCTGCGTTTCACTTACGAGACGGAAAAGGATGGGAAGCTGCCTTTTCTAGATGTAACAGTCATGGAAAAGGGCGGAGGTTTCCACACTGCAGTCTACACTAAGGAAACAAACATAGGAATGTGCCTAAGTGCCAACAGCGACTGCCCTGACAGGTACAAGAGGAGTGTTGTTAACGCATACGTCGACCGTGCTCTCAGCCACAGCTCAGAATGGAAGCAAGTCGACGAAGAACTCTGTAGGGTAAGGCAGGTCCTAGTCAATAACGGCTTCTCCAATGGTTTCATCGAAGACATCATAAGAAGGAAAGTGAAAAGCCATGCAACCTCTGAAGAGACAACTAACGCAACACCTATACCCCCTATTAGACTATTTTACAGGAACTTCTTTTCCACAGCTCATAAAACGGAGGAAAGGGTCCTGAAAGATATTGTTAATAGAAACGTTATCCCTACAGACAAAAATCAGAGGATACAACTGACGATTTACTATAAAACCAGAAAAACGGCCAGCCTACTCATGAGAAACTCTCCAGACACAAAACAGAACGCTTTAAAAGAGACTAATGTCGTCTATGCCTTCAAATGCCCACTTGGGGACTGTAAGCTCCAAAAAACCCAGTATATAGGCAAGACAACAACATCTCTTTCTAGGCGTTTAACGATGCATAAGCAACAGGGCTCCATTAAGGAACATATAATCTCTTCCCATAACCAAACCATCGCCAGAGAAATCCTAGTAAACAACACAGAAATCATCGATAGATACAGCGATAGCAGGCGGCTTGACGTTTGCGAGGCACTACACATCAAGAAGTCAACACCAGCAATCAACAGCCAATTATTGCACAACTATATTCTACCCACCTCAAGACTCCGCTCCAATATAGAAGCATCAAGAAATATGGACCAATAGGCTTTCTACAAACACTTCTATTCAATACCCATTGTTTCTGTTCTGTCTTGTGTTGATACTTTTAATACCCTATTAATATCCCCTCCTGTTCTGTCTTGTGTTAATGCCACATCACCCTTCCCACCTCACTCAAATGTAGATATAAAATCAGAGATACGTTCTAATCAGTTGTGTATTTGTGAAGTCTTTGAAAATGTAATAAGTTTTACGAAACGCGCCCGTGTCGCGTCAGACTAGAAATAAAAATGAATTTTGGAGAAGTGATTTTTGATTTACCTCCAACAGTGAAGCGTAATGTACGAAAGATTGAGAAAATTCGTGTTAGAATTATTAATTTTACTTTTTCGGTCATATTTAATATATATATATATATATATATATATATATATATATATATATATATATATATATATATATATATATATATATATATATATATATATATATATATATATATATATATATATATATAAAATTTAATTTTGTAGCAAAAATGTGTTGATTAAATGTGTGGCGTGATTTACGTCATTAAAATGCTTTTGTTACTAAAAGGTGGCAAAATGTACGATAATTAAAAGCAGAAAAGTCTCGTGAATGGTAGCTCCCGGGCCTTTTGTATAGGTGTGTGAATAGCACCAGCCTCTGGCCCCCCGCCTGCCTGCCTGCCTGCCTGCCTGCCTGCCTGCCTGCCTGCCGAGTAGTGGAGGGGCCGAGTCCCCGGTATTAATTTTAATTTACAGGATTGCGAACCTTCGCGGGCCTTAAGCCTTTGTTTGACGTGCTGTGTGATAAGCCTGGCCAGGCCGAGCTATACTGCTTGTGGGGGAGTTGACACGGTACTCCCGTTGCTAGGTTATGATGTTGGTAGTGTTCGAGGGGTCGCTACCCTTGGCAGTGTTGGTTCGATCCCCCAGGCGCGGCATGGACGCTTATTTCCACCGGTAGGAATACCTGATACAGTAGAGAGCCAGTAGAGTAGCTCTCACAACGGCAAGATATATGATAGGTTGGCTAACATAAACCTTTCACACAAGAGATGTCAGACTAGTGCTAGGTTTTAAAAAACTGTATTGGTGCTCTCTAGGTGGAATATGGTTACACACTCACACCCCTATTCAAAGCTGGAGAAATTGTTATCCTAGATAACGTGAAAAGATATTGTACTGTCCGAACTCGCTCAATAAAATAATTGATTGGGACCCTTACCATTGTAATTTCTGCATGCCGTAGAGCACAGGCGAAAGATCTATATAATAATTTACATTATGAAAATATTAGAGGGACTGGTTCCAAATCTGCACACGTAAATAAATCCATATGAAACTAGGAGGCATGGCAGGATGTGCAAAATATTGCAGTTGAAAAGCAGAGGTGCAATAGGTACGCTGAGCGAGTATTATCAATATCGAGAGAAACGACATTAAAGGTCTCGCCCTCCTATACGTAAGACAACCCGTCCTCAGACCAAGTCCATTCCATCCAGCGGTCGACCCCAAGGACGCATTCCTAAACTTTAACATGCTGTTCGTTCAAAACATGAATTTTCTCAAATATAAATGAACATTATTTTTTATTACCATATTGTACATATTTAGGCACTAGTTAGGTGTTTAGGTTCTGTTGGCTTTTATTTGTATTTGTAGTACGTGGGTGAAGTAAAATGTGGTTCGAACAAAAGTCGTCAGCGAAGCACTTGTTCCGGAAGTGTTCGGACGTCATCAGTTGTGAGTCGTGTGTAAACCGTTTTCATTCATAAAGGGGGGGTTTGGCGGGTGGATGGAATAGACTTTAACCTTTGTTTATGAGGACGAGCTGCATAAGGGTCATAACTAGCCGAACTCTCGTGGTGCTTAAACTTGATAAAGCAGTGAACAATTAAGCAGAAATTAATTGACATCATTTCCTTTCATCTCATGCCTCTCTTCACCTAGCAGTAAGTTGATACTTGGGAGTTGCCGTATTTCGGTAGATAGAATTCCATGACGCTTCCCTGTTTTTAAATTTTTTGTAGACTTTGTCATTAGTGCCGTATTTACTCAAGGTAAATACTGGGAGCCGGTCGGCCGAGTGGACAGCATGCTGGACTTGTGATCCTGTGGTCCTGGGTTCGATCCCAGGCACCGGCGAGAAACAATAAGCAGAGTTTCTTTCACCCTATGTCCCTGTTACCTAGCAGTAAAATAAGTATACCTGGGTGTTAGTCAACTGTCACGGGCTGCTTCCTGGGGGTGGAGGCCTGGTCGAGGACCGGGCCGCGGGGACACTAAAAAGCCCCGAAATCATCTCAAGATAACCTCAAGATAACCTCAAGAAGATGTTACCCTGGACTTGACCTGATGCTGCTTCGTGGATGGTTCTTAATTTTTAAGCGTATAATTTTGAATTCCAGGAAAATGGTGTAAGACTTTCTTTTAGAGTGAAAGTCCTAGAGTTTGATAATAATAAAATATTTTGTATTTCAGATGATTAAGAACATAAGAATTAAGGTTACTGCAGAAGGCCTATTGGCCCATACGAGGCAGCTCCTATTTATAACCACGCAATTAAAGAATATTCTTAATTTCAGAAGAGAAGCCATGTGCAGGCGATGAGTCACAATAACGTGGCTAAAGTATGTTGACCAGACTACACACTAGAAGTTGAAGGGACGACGACGTTTCGGTCCGTCCTGGACCATTCTCAAGTCGATTTGAGAATGGTCCAGGACGGACCGAAACGTCGTCGTCCCTTCACCTTCTAGTGTGTGGTCTGGTCAAGAGAAGCCATATTGTGTGGTGAAGGGCAGTGAGCAGGACATTATATATATTAAGGTATACAGCCGGTACTATTACGGGCTATTCATGCCCGTGCCACCTCTTAGGTGGCTTAATCTTTATCAATCAATCAGCTGGTACTAATGGTGGTTATTGTTTACAGGGGGGATACAGTGTACGTGGTGGTAGAGCAGTGTGGGGGATGTGTTCGTGGAGGACTATAGTGCTGGTCACCGGGGTTGTGCTGCTGCTCTTGGCCCCCGCCCTCGCTGATACTGGTGAGTACTACATTGGTGATATACATACATTGTGCGTCAAGCTTTGAATGATCCCCAAGCCAACATGCATCAGAAAATTGTTGGTCCCCCCTGAAGGATTCGAACCGGTTCGAATTTGGCTGACTGGGTTCGAATCCTTCAGGTATCAAGAGTTTTCTGATACATACATATATACATTTACGAGCCATAGTGTGTATAGTAGCGACATTTTCGTTCCGCTTCTCGTCCTGAGGGCGACGATAGAAATATTAGTTTCCTGAACTTAACTATATCTCCAAGACGTTTGTCTCTTTCTTCTCCTGGTCTGTGTCTCTCTCTCCACTCGTCTCTATCTCTCCTCAAGTTTCGTGAAGAGGTCTGATCGTCTTCATATAGAACATTGACCCAATTTTACAGCACAAAATATCTTTTAGGAGGCAAAACTTATCGGAAATCTCCGAACAAATATTTTGTTGAGAAGTTTTAGGCAGGCCGTTGGTGGGTTTATAGAGATTTTTGATCAGGGAAAAGTTTCTAGAATAGAGGGGTGAGTGGAGGGGGGGGGGCGTGAGTGGGGAGGCGCGCCCCCGCGAGAGAGAGAGGGAGGGATGGCGGGTTGGATGGATAAATGTTTGGATTGAGGGAAGGAAGGATGGATAGTTGAATGTACAGATAGGGATAGAGAGAAAGGGGGGCGGATTTGAAGGGTGAATGGTTTGATGGATTTCTGGTTACATAGCTGGATAAGTAGACGTCTCCTAACAGTGAGAACTGTGTCCATTAGTCACTGTTACGCATTATCTACCTTCACCGTCGTGACGGTGGTGGTGTTATCAGTCTACCGCTCCTGTCCTTGCCAGATTTACAGCCCATCGGAATTGGGTCGTAAACACTCGACTCTCGGTAGATTTATGGGGGAGTGACATGTGCAACATATCGTTTTATAGTGAAGGTTATTTGTTGGGAATCTAGTAACACGAACGACCTGAAACACGACCTGAAACTCGGGTCAGGCTGCGAGCAGCCGGGTCCAGCAGTCTGGTCGAGGACCAGGCCAGCAACGAGGAAATTGAAATTGAAATAAGTTTATTGAGGTAAAATACACACAAAGGGATGAGGTAGCTCAAGCTATTCTCACCCCGTTCAGTACAACGTGTTAATATATACATAGACACACATCACAAATAAACATATTACCAAACATTCTGAGAGATAAACATATACATTTCCTCCTTCACAAGTAGTATGGTATCAGACGTACACACAAATACTTTTATGAGCAACGAGGAGGCCTGGTCGAGGACCGGGCTCGCGGGAGGACGCTAAGCCCCCGAAATCATCATCATCATCATCATCATCATTGGAAGGTAAGGTAGTATGCAAGCCACGTCAGCTGTCTTTGTAAGCTTTTCTTGTAGTTTGGTTTTGGTCAGTGGGGTGTTTTTTTTTTTAGTGTCCGCTTACCTGCTCAGGTGCTGGTCCCGTTTTCTCTTGTATCGTTAATTTGTATTTGTTTATATAATTATTAGGGGTGCTTGGCGATACCCGGTTCTGCTGCCGACCTGGACTTGACACTGTTGGCTGTATATATATATATATATATATATATATATATATATATATATATATATATATATATATATATATATATATATGTCGTACCTAGTAGCCAGAACGTCGTAATCGGCCTACTATGCAAGGCCCGATTTGCCCAATAAGCCAAGTTTTCCTGAATTAATATATTTTCACTAATTTTTTTTCTTATGAAATGATAAAGCTACCCATTTCATTAAGTATGAGGTCAAATTTTTTTTATTGGAGTTAAAATTAACATAGATATATGACCGAACCTAACCAACCTTACCTAACCTATCTTTATAGATTAGGTTAGGTAGCAGAAAAAGTTGTTAGGTTAGGTTAGGTAGCAGAAAAAGTTGTTAGGTTAGGTAGGTTAGGTAGTCGAAAAACAATTAATTCATGAAAACTTGGCTTATTAGGCAAATCGGGCCTTGCATAGTAGGCTGAGAAGTGCGTTCTGGCTACTAGGTACGACATATATATATATATATATATATATATATATATATATATATATATATATATATATATGTGTGTGTGTAATTATGGTGGATATTGTTGAGAACTGTGAAGACCAATTAGCCACACTATCTGCAGATGTTTTGAAGCAAGCGGCGGGTATTGAGTGGGAGGGAAACCATCTTCACAAAGTGAAACCATCCGTGTGCAGGTGATAAGGCGCCGGGCTCACCCAGAGCGCTCCAGAGGGGGGCCAGCGCCCCCCCCCTCCCCGAGCACCGCCTTGCCTGTCAACAAACCCTGAGCTTTAGCAATGTTTTGTATTTGCGAGTATTTTTGTTTTAATACAAGGAACTTGTATTAATACAAGGAACATACAAGTACTTGGTCAACAAGGAACTAGTAAGGTGTGTTTTGCAAGTTGCTCATTGAAGCAATTACTGTCAGCTCGTGGCGATAATAGGTGGAACTTAAGTATATATGGGAGTAGTTAGGCGATAACAGCAGCAGCTGTTACGGTCCAACTACTAAGGACCGTCAGTCCTCTTACGATTGACCTACTAAGCAATTATGTGGTAATATTTTATACTATTCACTTTATAAAACTCCGAAACAAAATGAAGCTAAAAAAAATACTTAAATATTCCTAGGCCTAGTATAACACACACATATACTATATTAGGCCTAGGAAGGTTAGGTTAGTTTGTCTTTCCAACATAAGTAGAAAATCTTTTCCCGGTTGATCCAAATTCAATAGTAACGATTTGTAACTGCGTTGTACATCGGTATATGTACTATGGGCCTCATCCTTCCTATAAGTACTACCGCAACCCGCTTGATACCTGCTTGATGGGGTTCTGGGAGTTCTTCTACTCCCCAAGCCCGGCCCGAGGCCAGGCTCTACTTCTGAGAGTTTGGTCCACCAGGCTGTTGCATGGAGCGGCCCGCAGGCCCACCACAGCCCGGTTGATAAATAAATAATGAATAACGTGTTTACTGGTCTTAATAAACACTCATTCTCAACCATCGTGTTTTCATTAAACATTCCTGATGATGATCTGATGATTTTGCTATTAAATGTCAAGTATTGTGCAGCTCAAACCAACCATAGGGTAATAATGCCTTACACACAGAAATCACAATTGCGTGATGCATCAAATGAACAAATCCACAAGGGCCGTGACGAGGTTCGAATCCTCGTCACGGCCCTTGTGAATTTGTTCGTAATAATGCCACTCCGGAGAACTGGATAAGCACCTCCAAAGGATACCTGATCAACCAGGCTGTGACTCATACGTCAGGCTGCGAGCAGCCGCGTCCAACAGCCTGGTTGATCAGTCCGGCAACCAGGAGGCCTGGTCGACGACCGGGCCGTGGGGACGCTAAGCCCCGGAAGCACCTCAAGGTAACCTCCATCACCCAGACACGGGTTTGCGGCATCGCTCCATGCTGACGGGACGAGTGATGGGAGATGGGAAGCTGCTACCCCAGTCAATCCTCCTATGGTTCCCCAGCGTCAAGAAACTGTCGTACCTAAAGTGCCATTATCCTAACCTATCTGAGGACCCACGGACAGGAATTCAGGCCGGGCATCCTGCGGCCTTCACGTGACTCGTGCTCCGCAGCCCTTCCCTTCTCCCTTCCCTTGCAAAGCTCCAAGTCCACGCCCAAGTTCTAAATTAATCCGTGTTAATTAATGGAATTTCTAGTTGGGTGTAAATTATGAGGGGAATGTTGATACTGGGGCGCCTGACAGCTGGGTGGACAGCGCTTCGGATTCGTAGTCCTGAGGTTCCGGGTTCGATCCCCGGTGGAGGCGGAGACAAATGGGCAAAATGTTTTTCACCCGTGTTACCTAGCAGTAAATAGGTACTTGGGAGTTAGTCAGCTGCTTAACTTAAATGGAACAGCCCCAGGAAGGCTGCTTCCTGGGGGCTGTGTAACAAAAAGGAGGCCTGGTCGAAGACCGGGTCCCGGGGACACTAAAAGCCCCGAAATAATCTCAAGATAACCTCAAGATAACTTGAGCGGGAGGCTGGCGGGGACAGCGCCATCACCAGGACGAGGTCTGCTGCACAGGTTTCTCTGTAATCTGTTCCCCTTGTCACCAGACGTCTTGGTGCAACTCCCCGTAGCCGGCCGTGGCCTGTATCACCTCTCCAGAGGCTCCTGTGTCGCCTCGCGCCGTCTCCCGTCTCGTCTCCCGTCCCGTCTCCCGTCCCGTCCCCCGTCCCGTCCCCCGTCCCGTCTCCCGTCCCGTCTCCCGTCCCGTCTCCCGTCCCGTCTCCCGTCCCGTCCCCCGTCCCGTCCCCCGTCCCGTCCCCCGTCCCGTCCCCCGTCCCGTCCCCCGTCCCGTCCCCCGTCCCGTCCCCCGTCCCGTCCCCCGTCCCGTCCCGTCCCCCGTCCCGTCCCCCGTCCCGTCCCCCGTCCCGTCTCCCGTCCCGTCCCCCGTCCCGTCCCCCGTCCCGTCCCCCGTCCCGTCCCCCGTCCCGTCCCCCGTCCCGTCCCGTCCCCCGTCCCGTCCCCCGTCCCGTCCCCCGTCCCGTCCCCCGTCCCGTCCCCCGTCCCGTCCCCCGTCCCGTCCCGTCTCCCAGCGTGAGATATTACCCACTCTTGCACTGTACAGGTAAACCAGAACACGTCCTGTGATCAGCCCGTCCTCTCAACTCCTGTCGTTATGGTAACCATTAACCAACGTACCAAGTGCAACGTGCTAGGAAAAGCACCGGCTCGTAAAAAAAAAAAAATCCCTCTTTTTCTATGCATCATTTGGTTAGGTGAGGTGGGTTGCTTGGGTTCGTCCGTTTGTGGCTAGGTCAGGACGTAGGATTTTTACGTTGTAGCAAATCTAGAGAACAGGCTGTTTGATCATGGGCCACCTACCAAAGGATACGTCTATGTTGTACGTGTAACTTTGGCAGATCTCAATCACAGGTCCTTTATGGACTATTTCCAGGTACCACTTATAGGCATTATCTGTTAAG